TGTGGCGATCGATAGCCGATAAGGAAATAAAACAAAACAAAACAATGAATTATAAGCACTTAGGATTATGTAATAACTCGAAAGCGTAAGGAAAAATGTTCATTTATAGTAGACGACTGGAGAAAAAAAGAGAAGAGAGAGAGAGAGAGAGAACTGTGAATTGCTAATACAAAAAAGAAAATCTTCAAATGTTGCGCCTATAGCGTATATATATATATATATATATATATATATATATATCTGAATATGAGTACATGTGTGTATGCGAACTATAAAAAAAGAAATGCGCCGGATGTATTTTTGACTTATAGTTCGATACAATTTTTCTTATGAAGAACAAAATACCAAAAGATAAATAATCGAATATCATACACATATGTTGCCATGGCACCTAAACAAAACTACGTTTATGAAACTAATTATACATTATTATTATTATTATTATTATTATTATTATTAATATTATATATGTATACACCGTCGTGATTTTTTTATTTTGACAAGGAGAATTGCGATTTGTATAACTTTAAAAAGCAATGCGTTTGTTCGTTACAAAAAAGAACAATATTTGCTAAAGATGGATATCAAAAGAAAATTTGAGCTTTTAATAAAAAAAGGAAATGGAATGGTATTCAATAAAAGGTGACCCATGGTATAGTTAGATTGTATTCTCACAATGGAATTGATGGCAAACAAGAATTAAAAAATGATATAAAATACATATTTTAATGTCAAAGGAAGAAGTTACGCGCTTTAGACTTTGCATTTTTGACATTTGTCAAAGAGAAGAAATGAATTAAAGGAAATATTTGTATGATCCAAATAAAATTTGAACGAAATTCCATCGCGTTTTCTCTTTAAATAATTTGTGTTTAGTCTTTACGGTGTTTACTGATAATTTTTACAGAAACGTAATTAAAACTACGTGTAATCTTTAATATTAACTAGAGAATCATTAAAAAAAATGTATCTCTAGAGCTGATTTATTAATCTCTCTCTCGTATTATAATAGTGATTACTTCTTGTATAAGAAAAAGAAAAAAGAAAAAAAATACAAGAAAAGAATTAAGCATTTATTTCGAATGTAGCTGTAATAATTAGTAACCTGCTTTGATACGTCGTCGCGTGGAACGAAAAAAATTAGCTTTTCTACTTCAGGAGAGCGTTCTATTGTAATTAAGATTACCAGTGCCTGGTACAACTAACCTTCAAAAGTAAAAAAAGAAGTGAAAAATTGAAAAGGAATATAAAATTACATACTATCGTGGATGCTCTTTCGTCGTTTCTTCTCGCTTACAAATATGATCTTTAAAAAAAAAAGTGTTAATCTCCAACTAGAGTAGAGATAGATAGAACGAATGCGCAATCAGCGATATCGACTTAAAAAGAAAGACTTCGTGTGTGCAGGTTACTCCGTGAAAAACCGAAGGTGTTATGTTCCGGACGAGTATCAAGGCACGCGTGCGCCGATCTTGATCAATGTTTTTTTTTTTAATTCACAAAAGTGCGTAAATAAAGGAAGTACAGGGAAGAGGGACAGCTTTCCGTTTGCCGATATAGACTATAGGACAATACGGTGTCGTTATTCCAAGCGATCAGAACTTTTCATTAATTATTATTAAAAAAGAAAGAAAGAAAGAAGGATACTGAGCTGAGATAATGAATCGTTTTATTTTTATAAGCTTACCGGACGGTTTTGATTTTTTTGAATAGAAGGGACGCACCAAGCCATTTTCAATTAAAACATAAAGAATGTGACTTTGTGCTTATAATTGAGTGTCGTGAGCAATAAACTAAAAAACATTGTGAATTTATTTTTTCCTGGAGAAAATTACTGACTATCACAAAAATAAGCGAATCAAACTTGTAATGGCCAAATAATGAAATAAAAATGGAAATTAATTTATAAATCCATGAATTCGCTATCGAATAATTGAAGCTCAAGGCACTCAATGTGAGATGTGAAAAAATGTGTAATAAAATTAAAGTAACGCATGATTGCACGCCGCGTAAGGAAATAAAAAAACAAGCTGATCGAATGATGTTTGTTTATGACTGTTATTTTTGTATGGCTCTTGAGAAAGGGTCCCATGTAACGCGTCATTGTAACTAGTAATTTAGTTGAAGCAATTAAAAAAGTTACAGATAAAAAAGAGATTGAAAAAAGCAGCTCGATCAAGCTATGAGCATTACAAAATAATCGCTGAAAAATTGAATTGATAGAGATTTGAAGCGAAAGGAAAACAAATTGCCGTTATTACATTCGAACAAGTTTATATAAGACAGAATGGAAACTAAAAATAGTATACGATGTACACGATTTCCTGACGATAAATGTTTTTTTTTTTGTTTTGTACAGCGGACATTGTGATTCCCGAAGCTGAATAATACAAAGATGAAATAACACAAAGATATACGATTTCATTACCCGTTGTATTCCTTTCATGTTAATTTCAACTATTTAAAAATTTCTTACATCGAATCTTTTTATTTAAATTTGCAAGGAAACATTTTTGTATACTATATAAAACTTCATAAATGTATTGACCATTCACTTATTTTAATTTTATACAGATATAAAAATTAATTAAATTAATTATACCAAGTTATTTGACGCTTAAGGTATTGGACATATTTGATGGTTCTTAATATATCGTCAAAATTTTATTTAAATTATTTTTATTTTCTATGAAATCAGTAAAAAATATTTTGGTTACTTATTGTTTTACTTAATTTACTTTTTTAATAGATTTATTTATAAATTATTTAAAATTTGAAATCTTATGTAACGTATTTATGTATAAATGTCTCGTTCATTATTAGAAATTATTAAAAATATTCCTTATTTTATCACATCTTACGTTTTGGAAATATAACATTATTTGTTCTTGAAATAAAAATTAGTTTGAAATATTCTTATTGTTTACATTAAAATTGTTCAAGATCAACAAACTCCTTTGAAATTTCTAAAATATTTAGATCGACTATTTTCAAAACCTTTAATATATTGTACTGCATAGTGTCGTATTACGTATGTAATTAATTGTCAAAAAATTAAAAATCGAAATATGATACTTGTTACATAAAGATTTATTAAAATTATTTGCTACATTTAATGATTTACTTTGTATCTAGTATCTAAAATCTTTTGAAATCATATAATAATCATAAATTATGTAGTAATTAATAAGTGTATAAAAACAAGAATAAACTAAAATTATAATAAATTTTATTAAATCGAAGATCATTATTTTAACAAGTATGCTTTACTTAAATATAAAAATAATCGTTAATTTTTACATTGATATGAACAAATGAGAATTTATAAATAATTTTAAAAAATTGTACAATTAAAACTTGTCTAAATTATTATTTTATTCATAGAATTAATGGCCATTTATCATTAACTTGAGAAAGAAAGTGATAGCCGTTTGAAGTCAGTAAAGGAAGTGATACAAAACAACAAGAATTTTGACAGCTGAGAATTGTTATACTAGTGAAAATCCTGTAAAAAGTTATTTTTATATACATACAAGATATAATTGAGATAAAAGTTTTTAACAGAGTATAAAACGATTTATGCAAAACACTATTCACCACCATTTAAACTAACTGAAGAAACTTTTTTAAAAAGTTAATATAAAAATTATCTTATAGACAAATGAAATTTAAATCTTTATTTTCATTATAAAAAGAAATAAAAATATAAATCTACTCATTAATATCGATGAACTTCAGTATTTTTATTTATTTTGGTTTTAATAAATACAGTGAGATTAGAAAATATGAATATTATATATTTTTTATTTATCATATTTATATTTATTTTTACTTTTTAGGTTAATACGATGTTAAAATACAATTAAGATAGTCACCATAAGTCATTACACATTTAAAGGTAGTAAAAATCTTTGTTAGCGTAACATTAAGAAATGTGTTAAAATTTGAAAAATGAATTACCTTTTTAAACATACTTACGAATTTGATCGTAATTTCATTTACTGTGACGACAAAAATTATTGAACATATATTATCTTTATGTTTGTAGAAATATGATGAATAATAAATATCACAATATAAACATTTGGCATTTGTCTGAAATTTTGCGTAGACTTACTATTTATTTAGATAATATTTTATTTATTATTATGAAATAAATTTGTTTTAAAACATAGTTTTTTTCCATATGATTTTATAATGTATTAAAAATTATTTTATATTCAATAAAATATGTTATCATTAAATAGACATAGAAAAATATTCCGATATTAATAAATATAAATTATGAAAGTTAATTCAATTATAAAGATAATATATACTTACAAAAAAATATATTTAAACTTATTATTAAAACTGCAAATCTTTTTATTAAAATATTCAAAATAATAATACTTATTTAATTTAAAAATAATTTTTCTTATAATCCAATGTAACTATATCGTATGAATAATATCAATTCTGTTAAAAAAAATAATTTTATTTTGGGGGTTTTATATTCATTTTTTAAATAAAAATAAACTACATACGCCTAAAAAAAATTTATACGTTAAAAGTATACTTATCTGATTTTTATTTACATAAATCACCGTTTTTTTAGTGAAATTTCAAATAAATCAAGAATTAATTTTTCAACATTATTAATTAAAGGTATATTAATTCATTTAATATAAAAGACTTAAATGATAAAAAGGTTTAACATATTTATCAAAATATCATTTGAATCAATTATTTTTGAATTGATTTTAATTAATTTCATTTCAGCATAATCAAATAAATGAGTAATCCATAGCAAAGAGTTTATTTAATTATTATTGAAAAACTATACTATGCATTCAAATAAAAGTATTTTTTTAATACTGTTAAGAGGAAAATAATATAAATAAATTTTGATAAATTCTTGATTATAAAATAAAGAATTTTATAAATAATCAAAAAAAATTTTTTTGTAAATAAAATATTTTGTTTAAAACACGTATAAACGATTTTCAAATGTAAATTTTAATTTGAAAATCAGTAAATAATAATAACTTATTGAATTTAATTATTAATTTTATTATTTTATAAATTGTATTTTTAATATATTTTTTAAATAAATTAAAATATTTGAAAAAAATGTTATCTTTAAATAAAATGTATTAATATGAATATTCTGAAATATGATTTTTTAAATTAAATGTATTTGAACTATTTATCTTGTACACATACATTTTTATTAATAACCTGGAATTTGTATTATAATTTTTGTTTAATTAATAAGAAAGTATTGAATTTCGAGTTAATATTATCTATTATTTACAAAATGTTAGATTATATTATATTATATATATAATATTGTGTATAAAACCTTATATATAAAATTTATCTGTAATATAAAATTGCATTTTGTAATTTACGCAATATAATGTCCATGGTAAGTAGAGAATTATTTTATATTGCTATCTAACTAAATAAATAATACAATAATATAATAAATAACTAAATAAATAAATAATAGCGCCTTCCACCATTATCACATAGAAATGATAAACAGGAATTACCATTTTTAAGGCTAAGGCTGTATAATTAAACTCAAAGTGTTGTCAATACAACAAATTTAAAAGAAGTAAATAGAAGTTCTTATTTTAAAAGTTTACGAAAATTATAATTTATTATGAGGTTAGAAAGTAGTGGGATTTCATGTACGTTCAGATTTTATACGATTTTTATTTATTGAATATTAATAAGTCATCGAGATATGTATAAAAGAGTGCTATGTTCGAAGAAAACAAATTTTGTAAATGCGCGTTATAGTAATCGCAGTGCGATCGGAGTCCTCGAGCTCGTGTCGTCCCATTCTTATCAGTTAACGAGAGCTATAAATGCACTATCACGGACTCCTTTCGGGCAGTCACTTACCACGTCTGCCGCTTTGAAGATATATTCAACAACTAAATCGTCCAAAGGAAATCGAGCGCAAGTTGCGTTTGGACACGCAGTGCTTTACGCTAGTAGCGTAAGGCACTTGATATTAAGGTGCTTGATAGTAACGTGGATGTAACCTAGGTAAATACTCTCATAGACTTGCATATTATTATTTTTTTACCAAAAGGGATTTTATTATGTATTTGGAAATCGATACATTTATTCGTATACTAATAAAAATTGCAATTAATTCAAAGTCTACGACTTATTCAAGAATAAAATATTCTTGTATATGAATAAAAATCATTTGTGCTGAGGGTGGAAAACTTCTTAATTCTGTTAATATATAATAATTAAATTATTTTTATTAAATGTAAGTTACAACCCATTTAACAATTGAATACTTTATTAAATTTAATATTCGATACCAAATATTAATAATTCTTTTTCAAGTACAAGAATACATTATTTAATGATAGTTATATATGCTTCTTAGAGTATGCAAATAATTTAGTTTTGCCGACATATTATTTTGATAAATTTTATAGAAATTTAGAAAAATTTTCATTTTATCTAATTACTTTAAAGTATTGAAAGTATATTTAAATTTATTTAAATACAATTGTTTAAAATAATAGTAAAAATACAAATAAATAAAAATACTTATCGTAAAAATAAATAAATAATAATATTACAATAATAATATAAATCATAGAGTAAAATAAAATAACAATCTTTGTTACTTTACCTTTATGCTCTTCTAATAGTAGTTGTATTATAATATTAGATTAAGTTTTTAATAAGCTCAAATTTTAGTTTTCGTTCAAAATTATTTTTGTTGTTTATGAATAGAATATTTATTTAATAAATTATTTGCTATTTACTTTAAAAATATTTTATAATATCTGGAGCAAGTACTGAAACGTTCATACTGATACCTTTTAAATTTATCTTCTTTATTATGTCCTCAATATTTTTTTAATTTAAAGTTAAAAAATTTTTTAGTTAAAAAATTAATGATATCTGAGCGAAAATAATATAAATATCGAGTGAATAATAATAAAAAAACGAATAGCAGTAAAAAAATTGATAATATAATAGCTAGAATAAAAGCATTTTTACAACACATTTCATCATGGACTTTATAACTAAATATTTATATGACTTCATAATTTAAGTAATTGTATTTATATTTATTAGGAACTACAATTTTCTTATTCTTCTCAATTTTTTATTGGAATGTTCTTGGAATGTTAAATTCATATTGTATAAGTTTATATTCTTTTATAATAAATATTTTAATATTTTATTACTTAATATAGCCAAATAACTAAAGCCTGTAATATTATAAATTATATGATAATTTATAATATTAAAAAAAAAAGAAAAATGATAATGTTTATAAACGCACTAAGCATCGGATAAAAGATTTCGTAAAATCGGTTTTATTTTCTTTTTTCTATATTAGATTGCCATAAAATAAATTCTAATAGTCGCTTATTCACACATAAAATAAATATATTATGGTTCTTGAAATCAATTTGAAATTTTATAGTATTAAAAATTGGAATTAGTAGAATATTCTCTTTGATACAATTCAAAAGAAATAAGAATTTATGATATAAATGGTTTTAATGATGATTATAATTATGATTTCTTTATTCGTAAATAAATTTTCTCAGTTCATCTTCATGCGATTATGAAATGATGTCTTCTGTTTTAATGAATTAATTATCTTTGATTTTGATAATGCCTCCAAACGGAAGTATGGACACATCTACTAAAAAAGCAATGACACGGAATTTAAGAAATTCACGAGAGCATAAATTATTAGTGGACAAAGAGAAGGAATCAGAAAAAAACGGTATAATTTCAGGAAAGAATATATTTATCACTGGAGGAGCCGCTGGACTAGGCTATGCCTTTTGTAATCACTTTCTGCAATTTGGAGCTAATGTAAGTAAAACAGAATATTTTTAAAAATTCTAATTACTAATATATCTTTTCGCCAAGCAAATAGTTCTTACTTAAAAGTATTTTATTCATTGGATAGTACTTGCTGATTTATTTATTTGCAAGATAATTTTTCGCAGACATCAAACATGTTTTTTTATGGTTAATGGATCGGCTTATTAAAATTTTTAAAACGAAAAATTTATATTCACGCGTGTTAAATCTTTCTAAAAAACAAAAAAAGTTTTGCTAAAAAGTCATAAAGTTCTAAGTTATTATTTACCACATGCGTATTATTATTGAAAATTGACCGATTTTCTCACAATTTCCCAAGCCTATACCCGAAAGGCTAACGTGCTATTCAATACTACAAACGATCATTGCATCAGAAACAATGTAAACTCTAACGAGGCAACACTTGTTGCTTGCTTACAGAAAATTTGCATAATTGACGTAGATGAGGTGGCAGGTGGCCGTATTGTAGTCTCCACTGAGAAATCGCACGGTGCCGGCAAAGTAATCTTTATCCGTGCCGATGTGTCCCGATATTCCGAGATTGTTGGTGAGTTGTGGTTGCAATGTAAGTAATCGCAGTCACCGATCCGCCATTAATTTGCATGTTTTGCTTTACATGTTTAGCTGCATTTGAAGAAGCAATGTCCAGAATGGGCGGGGTGGACATCGTTGTCAATAATGCAGGAATTATTGATGAACGGAGGTGGGAGAGGGAAATCGCTGTTAACATGGTGGGTGCACCTTATCGCTTTTATGCGTCGTATCGTTATAACGCGATTGCGATAATTAAAGCTTTATCGTAACCGTTTCTTTGTGTACTACCAACATGCATAGATTTGTAGATTGTTAAGGCTTACTGATTTTCCATCTGACATTAGAAATATCGGTAACGAACGCGTTTCATTTACAATGCACTAAAACCACTTGTCACCAAGCGACTCCATTTCATTAGCGATCATTGCAATTTGCCAAGTAAATTTATATTTTAACAATGGAACCTGGTCCTGAAGCATTTTTTTTCGGGTCTCGTATTGAAAATATTCGAGTAAGGATTTTTGACGACGCAATGCTATTTTTCATCAGGGTGGCATGATATCAGTGGCGATGTTGACGATAGAGTACATGGGTAAACACAGAGATGGACGCGGTGGCATCCTGATCAATATTGCCGAACACATGGACATCAAGTTTACGGCTCAGTTACCGGTTTACAATGCTACCAAACAAGCTATAATTGGACTCTCTCAGTCGCTCGCGGTATGCCCTTCGAAATTTTCAAAATGGATTTCAATGTGAATGATACTTTATTCTATATGAATTAGAACAGTTTAAATAAATCTAGATAGTCATCAACTATTGAACAAATGTCTGAAGCTTTATGTTGAACATAGAAATGATATTGAGTCGATTGTTGTAATATTTTAGGCGTCTTGCAATACGAAAAGAACAGGAGTTCGTGTAATTACGCTTTGTCCGGGACTTACCGAAACAGCCCTCACAATCGACAGTCCTAATAAGCTACTATCTAGGGTCATGAAGGCTGATTTTGTAAAAAACTTAGAACAACTGACGATACAAACGTAAGTGTTTCCACCTATTACTATATATATATATATATATATATATGATTATTACTGCTATTAAGATTGAAATGCAAAGCATTTTTGCATGATTTGTTCAATTTATAATTTTTGAATTATATATAAGAATTAAAAATGTCCTTTTCTAAAAACTGCGTACAAAATTTACTGCAAATTATGTAATTATTTATATTTATATAGCAATGAAAAATTAAGAAAATATTTTAGTTTAAAAATTAATATAAATAATGTATGAGCTAATATAAAATTATACCATATTTTTATTTTAAATGCTAAAATTACGATAATATTAAGATATGTATATATATCAAAAATATTAAATATATTTTCATTGTATAGTTTATTATAAAATGAAGTACAAAAATAAATATAATAACTTCCGCATTTTAATTTTTAATATAACGTGTACTGTATTATGCATTACAGTTTATACATATTGAACAATGCTTCTAACAACAATATTTAAAAAAATTTAACGAAAATTCAATTTCTACTGTAAATATGCCTGAGTAATTGTTTGTAAATGTTTAAAAAAATAAAGAAAAAAGAAAAGGTTGATTTTTATTTAAAATAGAAATTATTTGAAAATAAATTCCGATCCATTTTAAGTAAAATATTGTATTACTAATCAGTAATGTGAAGTTGTATACAAATTAACGCATCTATACTTCAAATGTAAAAAGTGTCTAATATATAAAAATAATGAAAAATAATATATTACGTATTATAACTTTATCCGAAGAGGAATAATATATTTTTTCCTTATTTCCAAAGCCCATACGTAGTTGCGCAGGGTCTTATGTCAATTCTGCGTACGTGTGAGTCCGGCAGCGTTTGGGTAATAGAAAATGGTCACTCACCTTTTGAAGTTTATTTGCCAAATTTCCGCAGTCTTAGACGTCTCTACAAAAATAATTTCACTATCACGGACGATATGAAGTGTGGAAATAAAAACCAGCCAATCACGGATGCAGTCTGCGATAGTAATCTTACTGATCTTACAAGTTGCGTTTAGACTTGCTGAAAAAATAAATACAATTAATACTATTATTTGCGAGTAAAACATTAAAAAGAAGATTTGAGCTTGAAGCATCAGAGAGTTTAGAAAACATACTTAATTTTCATAGATGCTGAATGCTAATTCTAGTTAAATACAAGATTTGAATAGTTATTTTATTTGATTTACACGCTAAATTTAATTATATTTTTTTATAATTCGGAAAGAATTTCGGATCTGATCTTAAAAAGTTTAAATAACGACAACTATAATTTTATGTATATTCTATATTAGTATCTTTATTTGAAGATATCGTAAGTGATGAATTTAATATTTCATTAGGCTTTTCAATCATCTTTACTTAAGAATTGTACTCTATTCAACCAAAAAATTAAAATTAAATACTATAATTCTTATCTAAATTTTCCAAATAGAATAGTATTAGAATAAAATTATTTTAATATTATGTATTTATCTCGTATTAAACATTTGAAAATTTTTGTCCTTAGTATACGGTATATTGCACATTTCGAAAATAATTGGAAAATAAATTAATCATATTATAAATCAACGTATGTGCTTTAGTTTATAATAGTTCTAATCCAAATTTCGATAAAATATGTACATTTATACTCCAATTTTTTGTTTCATTAAACACCTGTATATTATTTAGTTATTTAAATAATATTTTTAGCATAATATCAAACAGTTTTTTTATTTAATATCGCTATAAAAAATATTTACTATGCAATAATAAATTTATTAGTATATTGACGACTTATTTTGCTTAATATTATTTATTGTAAGAGTAACTTAATTATTGACATAAAAATAAATTTATAAATTAATTTTTTATATATTATAAATATATAAAAATGTTATTTCTTCTAACCAAATTAATACATAAAGGTGTATCTTTTATCAAACTAATATAAATATATATCTAAAATTATATATTGTAAATCGTGGCCATATAATAATTTCTCATATTAAATATCTTATTGTATATGATTAATACATTAGTAAGCAAATATAATTTTGTTTATATATTCAATATTTTATATTTCATATGTTAAAATTTATGGTTTTGTAATAAACTTTCTTGAATAAAAAACTATCATATAGTTAATATTAATAAATAATTAATAAATTAATTGTTATATTATATTATAATTAATAAATTCATAAACCTTAAAAATAATTTAGAGTAAAGACACATAAAAATAGCAGGTAAAAAAGTACCGTTATTTATAAACTTCAGTATTTATTCTCTAGTTAGTAAATATTGATGATATTTGAAATATCAAGAAACATTTTAAAATAAAATAAATTTCAAAAAATTCTGTATCAATTACAAGAAATACAAAAATCATCAAAAACAAAAATCGGAATGAAGTTATTTCTATTCGTCTATTTCATTGGAAATGTTAAACGGCGTAGTTGATTTTATTGATTATGCATTTAAGAAATAAGTATAAAAAACTATATTACAAGATATCGTTGAATGATTAATTATATTTTAGCATGAGTTCGCAAAGTCGTCTCTCTTGCATTCGTGAAATCACGCAATAATATTTCAAAGTAACATTATGATGGTGGAATTTTCTTCTTTTCTCAACTTTAGTGATAAGAATTTTTCAGATAGATAATAAAAAGTAATAGTTATAAAAAATTAAGGAATATTTAGTTAACGAAAACTAGTTTAAAAACTTTGTTAACATAATTTTAAATGATTTATATTTAAGCAAATTTCCTAATAAATATGATTAATTTATAATATAACTATGCAATATAATTATTATTCTTTATTTTTTCATAGATATTCAAACTTAACTCATTATTTATTTCACTACTTTCAATTTTCATATTAAAAATTATTATATAAATTTTATTTAAAATAGTAATTGAAAATATCTAATATTATTGATTAATTAATTATAAATTTCTTCTTTTTAGGAAAGATTTTATAAAAAAATATATGAAAATTTATATTTTCAAATTACGTTATTGTATGAATATTACTGATTAATTTTTTTTAATAATATCAAATTGATCCGTACGTAACACTTTTCATATTATTATATTAAAATGTAATCTTCTCGTTAATAATTCATAATACATCACTTGCTGTAAAAGTATTTGAAAAGTGGTTTTATAATATTTTAACATAGTTTAATATAAATAATTATAATTTTAATAAAACGTTTTGAAATAAGTTCTCCAGGAACAATAAGCTTAAAATAATAAATGAAAAGATAACCGAAATTTTTAAACGTTTTTGTATGAAAATTTTATAATGTACACAATAAAAAATTACAAAAAGTTTAAAAATAAATTTTCTTTTAATTTGATATAATTATAAATAATATAAGATGATTTTTTTATATTATTTGGACGGAATTATTTGCTGAAATGAATGTACACTTGTTAATGTTGATATAATTCATAAAAATAATTATTATTTAATTTGGTAAATAAAAACAAATTTTATTTCGGAATAATGAAATTTAAATATATCAACAGCAATGATATCATTATGTGTATGAGCTTTTTTCATCTAGACGTAATTATATAATACCATGTATAACGTAGTAATATTAGGGTTTAATTGTTTACTTTTGATTTATAAGGTAAAAGTAGGAATAAAATAAATCGATAAATGACTATGCATTTCAAATTATAATATAATTAAAAATGTATGGAATTACAACTATTATTAGTGGCCTAATATAAAAGTAATGTAAAACTTCATAACTAAAAACATGCTTGTTAAACAATATCGAATTACAAATATATGTTACGATTTGAAATAATCTAGCTCTAAATTTATATAAGAGAAATGCTCCCCAAACGACAAAATCAATAAGCATCGATTTCACTATTTCATATACATGTAAAATATCTTAATGTAAATAAGATTCACTTTCCAAAGAAAATTCGTAAAGTCGATTGATATTATTCTCCGGCTATAATAGACTTTGGACGGGAGTGCTGCTGTACTAGACATTAAGTCTGGGTGATGAGATATGATGTTGGAGCTCGGGTCAAAATGTTAACGGAATATAAATAGTACGTATCTGTTGTTAGTCTGCATCGCATCGGGGAATATTTATCGACGAGAACAAAGAAAGAAAAATCACAAGCGCTTTTAGTCCAGTTTTCAACGACAAGTATACTCTTTTCATAAATTTCAATCCTCTGCTAAATAATGCAGATGAAGGACAAGAGGGCCATCATCGTCGGTGCATCCAATGGCTTAGGGATGATCTTTAGCAAGGAGCTATTGCGCAATGGTGTGGCGGTAAAGGATTTATATCCTTATTTTGTGTAGTGGGCTTTATTTTCCTTGCTTTCTTTGATCAGAAAATTTAGCGTTATGTAAATAATTGTTGTGCTAGCTTAAATAAAAAGCATTTTATAGGAAATAGAAATTGCGTTGCGTCCAGGATAAATATATCGTAAAAGGTATAACAATTTCCACAAAAATGAAATAGATTTTCCTATTTTTAAAATAGAGATTCGAATTATCTTACGATGCAATTAAGTTTTTCGTTTATTCTAAAGATCTACTAGAAGATAATCGTTTCCTAAGAACAGATCTGTTACTGAGCGTAGCTCCAAATATAACAATCGAAAATATATAATAAGTAGAAAATTTATTAAATAGCTTTAAAATATTAATTTTATAAATATTTATTCCGATAAAACAATATGTGTTAGAGCTACGTATTCTTTCTCTCATTTGTTTTTAGATTAAATCGAAAAGTTAGATAAGTTAAGAATGAGAATAATTCAAAAGTTCATACTTATCTTGTAAATTTCAAAAAAAATTATCATATTTTAACGATTACGTATTTTACTATTTGCTTTTCATGAAATAAATATATTGTTTTAGTCAATTTAAATGTTAATATACGTTAAATGTATTTCAACGCAACTCTTTTTGAGACAGTAATAATCTAATTTAAATATGGATATATAATTTTTACTAAATATGTTAACTCCCTGTACAGTTATTGAATTTAATAGAATACGTTTTGTCATCGATAATGTATTTGAACTTAATAAATTATTACATTACTTGATATGTTTAATTAATTAAAAATAAAAGAAAAGAACAAGAGAAATGTTACTTAATGCTCAATAAGAAAATAAAAATTACATATATAAACTTAATATACATAAAGTATATTCATAAACTTGCCTAAATAATTAAAATTATAAGATAACTTTTTAAAACACAAATCGTAACAATTTTCAAATTAAAAGTTCTAATAATTTAAATAACGTAGTTAAAAAAACTTCGTTATACACATATTCGTTATAAATACGTTTATACGTTTCCTTTAAAATACTAAATTTAATTCAAATTTAATTCAAATTTAATTCAAATTTAAATTAAATTCGATTTTTAGCGGGTTATAATATTCGACTTGAATGAAGCAGTTGGCAAATTGCAAGCAAATAAACTTAATGAAGAATTCGGCCGTGATCGAATGATTTTTATCAAATGCGATATAACAAAAAGTTCCGAATTTGATGGTTTGTTACATCGAAAATAAAATATGATATTTTTAATGAATAACGAAAGCTTTTATATAAATATTTTTTTCAGTGATATTTAAAGAAGCTATAAATATTCTTGGCGGGCTAGATATTATTATCAATAATTCAGGTACGATAAATGAAGTAAATTTTCATCGAGCAATAGACAATAATGTTGTAAGTTAAACAACTTTTATTTATATTTTACATATTATTATACCTATTTTTTTATTCATAATTACTCGCCTGTTAAATTTATAACAAAACATATTGTACAAATATGCAATTTATCAAGTACAATTTTCGTATCTTCAGACTGCTGTATTCCGATCAAACATGATGAGTGTACAGCAGATGGGTAAGGATTTTGGTGGCAAAGGCGGCGTCATTGTAAATGTCGCGTCAGTTCTCGGTCTCGAAGCCTTTCCCCAACTTCCCATTTACTCGGCTACTAATCACGCAGTTATCGCATTTAGCCGATCTTACTCGGTATAAGAGAATTAAATTTATTTCACCCGCCTTGTGTAATATAATATGTAAACGAGGTTGTTTTTACTTATTCGTTAGAAATTTTAAATTTCGTAAATGCATTATAAGAAATTAAACTTAATATTCTAATAATGCAAGCTGAAATAGTATTGAAGTTAATCTTTTAATTTAGAATTTATATTGTTATTTATGCATTTATTAAAAATTAATTAAAGTATAAAAAATATTTTTATTTAGTAAATTCTCTAAATTGGAATATTCTGTATTACAATGTTAAAACAATTGGTAGAAATCAATTTATTATTTTCACTTACATAACAATATATAATAAATTTAGTAGTAGAAAACAAGATAATAGAGCTATAAAACTGTAATGAAAATAAATATTTATTATAATCTTTATCAAACAGCAGGAGTTTTATTGTAATTTAAAAAATAATCTGTTATTAGCCATTTAAAAAAGATAATTTTTTAAATTTGAAATTGCTTATTGTTAGCTACCTTATCATTATCAGAGGACGGGAGTAAGAATAATCGTCCTTTGTCAAGGCTTGACCGAATCTTCTATGCTGGAAAATTTGAAGAAAAACGAATTTATTCCCAGGCCAGACGATCTTTCAGAAATTATAAAAGATATTCATCCGCAAAGGTTTTTATATTTAGTTACTTTTTATATATAGTTTTATATATAATACTCAATGATTTTTATAATGCAGTATATAACATCGGATATCGCATAATTTTATTACAATAACAACAAAAAATTAAAAGAATCTAATAAAATATTTCGAAAATACCTAAACTTTAATTAATAATAATACAATACTAATATGATATAATTTATATATATATATATATATATATATATATATAAATACAAATTCCTTTTTTTTTTTTTAATGAAAACACATTTCTAGATATTATTCATACCAAAAGAGGTAATCATCTGTTATGTATAGAAATTATTTGTTTATTATAAATATAGCGACAACATAAGATATTGAGACGAAATTTTCTTAACTGTAGTTCATTTATTTATAACCAACAGTAATAGGTAAATTAATATAAATTAAGCTATGAAAGAATACGTATATAATTATTTTAATTTATATTCCGATAAGACTGGTATCTAGGATAAATGAATAATTTATAAATATTTTTAATCTCAGAAAATATTAATTAGGATACATGATTTTTTTAATTCTCAATATCTTAAGCATATTTCTATTTTAAGTTACTTTACGAGTCTATTGAATTGAAAAATGGATTCGTGATAGCTTTTAATTATTGTCACTTGTAAATCTCCTGCACATAAACTTCAATATCGATTCTTTTTCAAGTTTTTGTTAAAAACTATTGATGCCAAATGAAAAATTAAATTTTTATTTTATCTGCATATTAAAATATGCAGAATATATTAGGTTTTATCTTTACATTCTTATATTTTTCACTTTCAATTTACGTCCATGATTGATCGATGGTAATTTATATATTTTTTATCTACTTAATAATAATTCAATACATTTAATTTTATTATTTTAAACTATCATATGGCTATTATTAAAAAGCATAAAAATGATAAATGTATATTCGTACCATATATTATCAAAATCCAACGAAATATTTAAAAAATGGAGAAGGACCGATTTAAATTAAATTATAACTTTTGTGAAGCTTGTATCTGAAAAGTAAATAATATTTGAGTATAGAAATTGTATTGTGTATAATCAAAGAGCAGTATAGATTATTGCTAATATAGGTTGCATTGATAAGGAAGAATAAAAAAATAAGTTTAGAGAAAAAGAAATCCAATGAATGATAAAGAATTGTTATAATTATACGAAGCACAATTTTACACGGTAATATCATATAAATTTATTATAGCTTGGATTACATACATGTAAACTAATTTAAAAAATAATTTTTTTTTCTATACATATATTTAAGCATTAAAAATAATATTATAAGCTTTTGTTGGGTCACTCTAGTAAGCCTAATATTTAATAATATAGTTCATATTATTTTTTACCTATAATCTGTTAACATATATCTATTAACTAATAATAATTTTAATTTATGATTATTATTTTATTGTCTATTTAATTAAATATTTCTTTAATCAACGATACATTGTATTTTATTCATACTTTTAAAAAGATTTTTAAATATTTGTTTATTGTTTCATTCAGTCAAATACAAAATTTACTATTAAAATATTTAAATAAAAAATTGTTTCTATTTTTCAGGGCAGAAAGTGCTGCACATGCACTAGTATACGTAATAAGATGTGCACAAAATGGAAGTATATGGATTACGGAGGATGGAAAACCTGTTTATGAAATTCAAATGTACAATACATTACCAACGAAATAAATTTTCGAAACAGCATCGAAGTAAAAGTTTAAGGAATCCTCTTAATAACTTTAGTCATATAAATGTTTCGAATAAAGAATTCAAGTAAAAATAAATTTGATACAAGTATATTCTCACTAATGTAAATATTATTATTTCGTTTCAATCATGTAAAAATTTCAAAAATTTTTCAAATCGAATTCAGTTTTAATTAATAAATTATAAATAATATAATTTTAATGTTAATTACATATTCGATATCTGTTTTAATACTTAGTTTAAATACGATAGGCACTATTAGTAATCAATAGAGTAAAAACAGATTTATTCTTGACAATTACTAGACGAGCAAGTGGCTCACTTCAAGGTCTACCGAGACTTTACTTCAACTTAATTAATCATAGAATTGTCACTCTTTGTAGTGTTTCATTAGTTTCCGCGTAGTTCTCGAAAATACTGTGAAATTAGATTTTTTTGAGCGGCCAATTTAAAGTAAACATTTTTACTTTTTTTTTAACTGATAATTTAATCGTAAATTTGTTGGATATACTCATTTTGGTAATTATGACTAACGAAGAAAACGTAAAAACAAATACAAAGTCATATTCTATCAGCGAATCGAGAAATTTTAACTAAATTTTATTCTTTTCTCTTTTAAAATGCAAGAGCTCATATTAAATATTCAAATTTTTAAAATATAATCTACCTTGTATAATATACAAGATTTTTAGAAATTTTAAGATCTTTTACAATTAGCTAAAAATAATTCAAAAATTTCAGATTTATAATTTTTATACTTACTGATTATTAGATTTGCTCGATGATAAATGTCTTAATCAAATTTTTTATTATAAAATTTTTTTATATAAGAAGCTCGTTAAAGTTTTTAAATTAAAACACTTTACAAAATAAGTTGTATTTCTATATGCCATTAAATATATTTGTTTGCATTACATAAATATTTGTATATGCTCTATATTCTTATGTATAATTATTATATTTTCAGATACAAAAATATAGTTTTCATTAAGATTTGAAATTTTTTAAGTTATATAGAGCAATATACTTATTAATAATGAATTTCAGTTACTTTATACAATTATTCATTCAATATTTAAATATCAGTCATCGCACAGACTTAAAAAGAGTGATGTACGACAATGATTTTTTTTATATCTGAAAAATTATGTAAATAAGAAAATTTGATAAAATTATATATAATATAGTATATAATTAAGTAACAAATATGTGGATATCAAAATACATGCAAACGTAAAATTTTCAAAATTTATAATGATTGTTACCAGTTTTAGACAGGGACTGTAACTGTGCAATATAAAACTTCTAAATTCCTGAGTCTTCGGTGAGGTATAAAACTAATCGCAATAAAAACTGAAATTTGAGTATAATTATAAGTAATTAATAAGTATTATTTTTTATTCATATAATTTTTCTTTATAAATATTATTTTATCAAAAACGATTAAAAATAACTTTTCAGACTTAAAATTTTATTAAAATTATACATAGTGTAAGTTATTAATAATTTCTATTTGTAATTTTAGTATAATTATTTTGTTACAAATAACTGCAAATTATTAAATTAATTAAACTAATTTTATTTAATTAATTAACAAATTTTAAAAATATTCTCATTATTTTTACTTCAATAAATATTACTATAATATATTTATTTAAAATTGCATGTACTTTAAATATTTTATATAATTCGTATATAATATATATTTATATATATATATATATATATATTTTTGTTAAATAAAAAATAAATATGTAGTTTCAAACTACTGACGATGAATCTTTGATCTGCGTTCATAAAGTAAAATAATGAAACGTATATTTGTTCGGTATTCGAGCATTTTCCAAGACCTTTGGCTCTCGGAAATTTATAAGCCTTTTAGTTCTCCAATTTTGTAAACATTATGTATCTCGGAATTTTCGAAACCTTCTGGAGATTTTCTTTCCCGGAATTCTCGAAACTTCTAAAGCTTTATTCTCTAACATCCTACAATGTTTATCTAACCTCCGCATAGTAACACCTATCCATTATTGCCACCTAACTAAGCTGCCGCGTGGATATTTAAAGCAAGCACGCGTCGAGACACGCGCTATTTAGCCATGAACTAGTCACTCAGGAGCTATTAATTTAATCACGCTCCCTCAGTTAAGCTATTGCACAAGGAACACACGTTCAATTCTCCAGTGCGCATCAGTTAACAAGCAGTCAAGGAATCAACATGACTCCATTACAAGAAAATGTACGAGTACAAGAAGCCTGGCGTCGTAGTACTTCTTATCATAAAGGAATAACAGTAGTCTCTACTGAGGGTAACCGCTGCAACTTATACTTCCTTCATGAGATGGTCGACGCTCCCTCATAATATTTGCAACATTAGCAAAGGCCTCAATTACATAAATAAGCCGTACTCGTTTTCAAGGAGTGTGCATAATCCATTGCTGATCCTTAAAAGATCACCATCGTCCCCATCAACAAGGAAGAACTATATCGATGTGATTGAACATAGTTCATACTATCCTATGAGAAGTGAATTCAACTCAGGCTGCAAACACTGTATATCTCTACAGCCCTTCCACTTAAGTCCTTACCTAAGCACTCGCTGAGGTAGGCGACAAATTAAATTGAACTATCGAACATGGTAGTTCGAGCCAGAAAATCATATACTTTCAGACATATATCCAATAATTAGGAAGCAAATTCTAATTACTTGTATTCAGTTATCTTTTTTAATATTTAACGTAGTCAACGGAAGGTGCTTAACAACATAAAAAGAATATAAATGTGCTTGCTAAAATATATAAATATAAGTAAATTAATTTCTTTAATTTCATTAGGATCATAATAATAGCAGTCGAATAACATTTGTACATAATTTTAGAAAACTTAAAATTATTAATTAAAATTAAAATTATTAATAAAATGTTTCAATTATTTATTACGTTTGGATTGTATTTTAGCAACTTCAATTGAAACAATAATAAATATATTGTTATAACAAATTAAAAGCTTTTTTAAACTAATAAACTTTCTCTCATGATACAAATATTTAATAATTGCCTTTCAATTATTTTCTGATAATTATTGTCGTACATAATATTCTATTTTAGAAGCATTATAGTAAACTGTATAACTTCTTCGTCTAAAGATATTTCACATGTTCATTTAGACTCTTCCATCTTTTCTTTTTTCATTCATAGTAAATTTATTATTTAAAGCTAATTTAGCAGCTTTTAATATATGTTCTCTGGAAAATGAACACAACTTCAACTGTTTAAACTAGCGTAGTTTTGTAACACAAGAATCAAAAACAAAAATATTTAATAAGAAAATTTAATTTCCAATTTTACGATTACAAGTTTGAATTAAAATTGAAATAATAAGAATATTTCACTGAAATTTTAATAGATCTCACAGCGTACTTAAATATTAGCTTACGATTTTTTAAATTAATTTGATGATGAATTTAATAACGTATTGTTTAGTAATTTTATAGATAGCGCAATTAACTTTAGAATTTAGAATTAACTTTAGAATGTTATAAAAAATAATAAATAAATTTCTAGAATTGATATGAAAAATCTTGTAAAAACTGAAATGAATACACTGCCTGGTAATCTTCAATGTATTATTATTTGTATTTTTTAATGTAATGTACTACTGAAATCGAAATTTTGAAATTACATTAGTTTAAAGAAATTAATAATATAAAGAATATACTGTTTTATATATCTAAAGTTTTCCAATAAACAATGAGCATCCTTGTTTTTTTTTCAACAAACAATTAAAGCAAATATTTTTAAGACTGTGTTGACTGTTAATTAATTTCATAAAATTACCCTCTCATGTTTTCCAATACATAAATTAATTATTTATTTGAGTAACACAAAATTTTTATAGTTCTTATTTAAATTTTTAATCCTATCAGAGTATTTTTTCAATGAAACGGTTTTTTTGTATTTGAAAAATTAAATTTTATGTAAATCTTTAAATTCAATTATTTTCATTTAACTGTACAGTTATTTATCATATTTTTTTTATTTTTACTTCTATTTGAATTCTTATATTATTTAATACTTCATTTTATAATACATTTCTTAGTTCTTTTGAAATCTGTGTTGTCTTCTTTTTAAATGATGTATCTTAAAGATTTACCTTTACAATCAATTGAGTCTAATAAAATTGAAGGTATTCAAACAACAAGATATTGTTATTCTTTCTTCTTTCTTTTTTATTTTCTATTTCACTGATTTCATACGTTTATTTTATGTGTTTGATATGAATTTTTTAAATTTATTTAAAAATAATACTGATTGAAGAAAGTTATAGTAAGCATATCAAGGAAATTGTTGAATAAGATTTTTCAAAGTTATATTATTATTTTGATGATATGCCACAGATTAAGCAAACTGGTAATAAAGTTATACTTATGCTATTGTTATTTAAGTATTACAATAAAATGTTTTTAAAATAAATTCTTCAAATTAAATTAAAGTATTTTATTCTACGCACTTTTAACAAAGAATAGAAGAATTTAAGTAAATAATATAAAAATTATGAATTTCTTTAAGATCATCATTTTACATTGCTTCGTTTATGACTATTATTAAGTCATAAATATTTGTGAAGCTTTACTTAAAAGTATTTAAAGAAAGCATGTGAGTAATACTGAATTGACTAGAATAATTTATAATTCTAAATAATAGCTCTCAGATTTGAATATGTGAAGTGATTTGAATAAATATAATTTTTTTTTAAATTATCCGACTATAGAGAACAAAGCCCTCGAATGCTGAACGCACTGAATATACATGGAGTCAAGGCCTACGACCACTTGAACAGATATGGTTATCACGAAACAAACGCGGAGGGTCAACCCAAAATAGTACCTTTTTTCATTGATGAAATATCCAGCATAACAGCTAAAGATTAACTGTCTCGACTCATTTACCGGTGCGACAACATTGAGTAAAATTTGTAAAAACGACAAGCTCAAATAATCATTATTGAATTTAGTGATATTTGAACAACAATAATTTTATAAAAGCAAAAGTTTTTAAGTAACAATATTTAAACAATATTATAGTGTTAAATAA